CCCCTTTTTCTCTTTAGTCCACAAGCTCGTTTGAACATTAATTTAGTGCATCACGAACTCGATCATTATCCCAATTATAAAAAAAAATTAAAATGTCATTATTCATTAAAAATCAATGACGCGGAACGCAATACAAACTTGATCAGAAACTTGATCTGTAACTCATCAAGACACACACATACCAAAAAATCAACTCAATAGCTGCAAGCGTTTAGAAAAAAATGTCGACCACCAAGAGGAACAGCTAGACAGACAGAGGGACAAACGGACGGACAGAGTCAGAAGAAATCCATATTAATGATACTGGTAGGGGACTAATAACATGTTCGGTTAATTCATTCTAGCCTTTTAAACTGTTAAATAGGATATGTACTGTATGTTTCTCTATATTGGAATTTCGATCTAAGGGCAGTTCACTTCTACTGTAGATTGATTGATTGTATGTTGTTTAATGCCCCTCTCGAGAATTTTTCACTCATATGGAGACGCCACCACTTGCCGGAGGAGACCTGTCTAATACTCGGCACTCAGGGTCATCGAGCAAGGAGGGATCTTTTTCGTGCCAGCACGTACTGTGACACAGGGCCTCTGTTAATCCGAAGGACCGTCTACTGTTGAAGAATACCTACTGAAGAAAAACATAGAATCAGAACTCTTCAATGTAGAGAGGGTTCTTTACAGTTCAGTTTTTTGCTTTAGTCAAAGCAACGGATAAACACGAATGAAAAAAGGATGCTGAATACATGTACAAGGCAAATCATATATAGTAAAAATGTCAGCTTTGATTTGCATTGAGACATTGTTCTAGTCTTGGCAAGATTTTATAAGACTGGAAAAATCTTGAACACTGGAATTATTATACAAGAATCACTTATACATGTACCACTGGATATTTTTACAGATTCTTTAGTACATAATGGCGTTGTGAACTGTGCACCTCCTATCTTACTTTTATATTTGACATTTATCTGGGTCTGCAAGAGCAAATCATGGACTTTGCCATTATAATGGGAATTGATATCATTTTGTGAGCTCGATACTCACAGTACTTTTAGGTTTTATGGTGTCTACTCTTTGACATCGCTTGCAATGTGACTTGACTTTTCTTCAGCCACAGCAGTAACTTAAATGCGATCTAATATTTGGGTGATTCACTATCATGACCATTTACGCTACTCTAGTCAGACATTTTGGTAGTTTTGGAAAAAGTTTTTCTCCCTCTGAAAATAACCGGAATTTACTTCATACGATTTCATTGTTCCTTATTTTTCAAAATTTTAAACTTATACTTGGAGCCATTTCAGTAATCTTCAGAAAATAAACACATACTTTAACATTTTTATCATCACCGTTTATGTTTAGTTTCTGGATGGTACCAACAATATAAAATATATCAGTATATGTTGTGAGATATTTGGAGATAACGAACAGTATTCAAGCTCAAATGTCCATCAAACAATACAAAATAGGAGGAGAGCAAACATGGAGCTCCAAAACATCAGAGGTGGGACCAGATGCCATGGAGTGAGCATCCAATGCCAACCGGTCACATGTGCACATGCACATTTTTTATCAATAATGAAATATGTTCAAATGAATTAAATCCAATTGTGCCCTTTGTCACGATCAAGAAATAACGGGAATTCCGTCGACAAATCAGTCCGTATATATGAGGACCTAACAAATGAAATACTTCATTCAGCATTTCACTTAAGGTATCCGATCAATATTAGGACCAGATTCGATGGAATTGAATCCATTACAGATATGCATGGACTGAATACTCATATATTTGTTTCATCATCATTAAGTTAGAATTGGACTTGAATTAATTAATGACCTTGTTCTGTCCTTGAAGAGTTACATGTATTCCACTTTGATTTTAATCAATAAAAATCAATTTTATTAAAAATTTTCTACCTAGTATAAAATAGTTTTTGATTTTTTCCCATCCCCAATGATAAAAAAAATCTTTCCACCACAGCATTTCTGGATATTCCTGGTATTTATTATTTTTTTTCAATTTTCTTCTTTCTTTAGAAGATGCATTTTTCAATGATTAATAATTGCTTAGTTAATGAAATTTTTGAAAAATTCTCTTGGTAAATCTCTTTCTACTCTAAGATGCCTTGAAATGATATCAGAGTATTTTATAAACAATTGATATTTAAGATTTAAAATTTTGGTCCTAATATTGGTCGCATACCTTCATGATAAATTGAATTTACTGACAAGGTCATTATATCGACCCTAGAACTAACGAAATGATGACTTTAGACGAGACTGCTGATATTCTTGTTTCAGCATCTTGTTTGTCAATTATTTACTTCGTTTTAGAAATTGTTTATACGTAGAACATACTCTCGCGTATCGAATAAACCCTGCCTGCAGGTGATGGTGGTATATTGCTAAACAAGTAAGGGAGGTTGACGATGGAAATGTTGACGTCATCACGTTAATCATACAGCTGCGCTATTCATTACCATTTACGACTTTTTCTTGTAAAATAAAGAAATATGAGACAGATGTTTCAAACTCTGTGGTATCTTTCAAGCTCACAGGGATATATCCATTCCGAAATAATTTGAATTGAAATAACCATAGTTGATTGATATCTAAATGTGAATTTTTTTTTCTTCTTTTCACGTATGATATTTTGGACAAATTCTGCTTCATATGAATATAAAAATAGGTCTTCTAATTAACGGGGTGCAAAAATATAAAAGACTTTCTACATTTTTTTCTTTAACTTACAAAAACTACAACATTAACTTTGAGTGTTAATTAAATCAGGTCCTGGGGAAAGGGGACGGGTGTCTCTTATACTGTAGAAGTACTTTTTTCCGCGTGGTATTAATTTACGCTATGTACGCGGTCACAAATTTTCCGCGGAAATTTGTCGCAGCGTACGTAATATAAATGCACGGCATATAGTGACAGTCTAGGAAATCCGTGTAATTTTCAACCGGCGGATTAAAACGGAAATTGACATTCCACGGAATTATGACCCCGTGGAAAAATATACGTCTACAGTAATTTCATCCGTGAAACACTTTACAATTGGAAACCATTTTCTTTAAAATTTGCTTCTCATTAATAATCTTGCTGGTTGAGGAATATTTATTGTAATGATCCTAACGTTCAGTAAATCTTCCCTCTGTATGCCTAGAGTGAAAGGTAAAAAAATCATACAGCAAAATTCTCATGAACCAAAGACCATTTTAAAAAAAGAAACATGTAATGGTATTTCAAAGAAACTATTCTGTGAGGTTTTTCCAGGTTTTCGTGTTTCCACTGAATTTAAGTTATAATGTACTCGTTATATCAATTGCATATTATACACCCACGAAGAAGTTATAGTTCGTGATTAAAATGCCCTTTAGTGTCAGTATGTCAAAACATATTGAAAGCGGGTATTTAAATTTTATGTACTTTGTCGCTCTGTAAAATATATCTGAAATAAAGACCATGCTTAGTGTAGAATTTTTTGTCTTAACGGTTTGAATTTCTTTACAAAAGCTGTCAAGCAGATACAAGATCATCAGATAGAAGTAACCTGATTTACAACAATAGTAAACCCATATGCTAACAGTCAATCAATATCCAGATTATTTTTTCTTCCGGGTTTTAGTAAATGGAGCAAAAAAATTATAAAAGTTTAAGTTTAAAATGAGAACTTTTATGTAAAAAGGGGGAGGGAAAAATTTTATTTCAAGCATTTTTATGAAAAATATCAAATTAGTCCAGGCCCCTGAATCATGCATACACTGTGAAAAAAAACTCGAGTCAAAACATTCAATTTTCAACATCTGAATTTTCTGTAATATATTTTATTTATGAAAAAATTGTATACAGTGTAATCCTTTAATTTCCTTCTAGATTTTTAGTCATAATGAAAATTCTTTTGAAAAGTAAAAAAAAAAATAATTTTTAATTTTATATAAATTATTTTATCAGATCTGTTTTGAACAATGGTTCTTCACACAGTGTATATGATTCACTTCTTCTATATTAAATATTAATATTAATAACATAAATGATTAATATCTAATATGAGTATGTTACATGAGATATTTCAGCTTCGTTTAAAAATACAGTAGATGTCCGATTTTTCAGAACTCTGTAAACCTTTTTTTCTAATTGTTCATTACTCTTCAACATATTTATGTCTATTGCAATTAACTTTCCAAAACAATTAACCGATAAAACGTAATTTTCAGGTTTGACTATTACGCACGATTTAAAACCTAAACAAATTAACAAAGCATGCTTGATTAAGCACGTCACATGAACAAATTGGTACAATTCCAAACGATAATAAAATAATGAGAGTTAGCAAATTGAAAAATTTGTAATTTTGGTGGGTGGTTGTGGCCATTTAGAGACTTTTTGATTTCCTTTAGAAGAAGAGATCCGTATGTAAATATACATAAGTGATCAACTTTTAAAACTGTAAAGTATGAAACTTTTCTTTGCCTAATGACAGTTAACAGCTTAAAATATATTACCTTAAAAAATAATTTATATATTCTGGTTAATTTGTTGATGCCCTAGCCTCCTTAAGTTATGTATATTTAGAGAAAAAAATTCAAAATATCTCACATAAAAAATTGTCGTACTGTGTGAAGTGTTTCGAAACTGATTTACATATGAGTAGAAGATTTTGATTGATATTATCTGCCGGAGAGGTGGATGAATGTTTTACTTCGATGACTTTCTTAAAAATCAAAAGAATAGGAGGTCTTATTCATCAATGTCACAATGACTTTTTTGACAGTACACGTGGTATTTAAATTATGTTATATGGGTTATTATGTTAATAGGTTGTATTTGAAAATCCGGTTAGGTTAGGACGACCCAGTGTCAATCAAAATTTTTATCCAATAATAATCTTACCATTCCTGACGTCAAAAATTAAAAGCGAATAAAAAAAATTTAAATCAAACCTATTTAATACTGATCACCATCCTAACTTCAAACAAACTGATAATTAAGAAATGCTGTCAAAATGTAAGTGTTTTTGAATTTGAAAAAAACAAAATGGACGAACACGACGCCATTGCAATCGTGGGGGTTGGTTGCAGATTTCCCGGTGCTGATGGCTTGGAAGAATTTTGGCGAGTCCTAAAAAATGGCGAAGATCATGTCAAGGATATTCCAAAAGAAAGGTTTAACGTTGATGCCTTTTTTGACAGCAATCCGGACGCACCAGGAAAAACATATATAAGGAAAGCAGGCATAGTTTCAGGGTAAGAGAGATAACTCTGTCATCTATTCTTTCTCAAATCCCCCCATTTCCCCATTTTATTTCAACTCATGCTGCTTAATTGCTTTTCAACTTGATATTTTACTTATCAAAATACAATTATATAACTTTTTACACACAGGACCTATGAACACACACAAAAAATAGTCTTTACAACAACTTTTTGAAGAGGATCTATTCAGAAAAGTTTAATTGCCAATGGTGATTCTTGTGTTTATTAAGTCTCCTGAAGTAGATTTTTCGTTGTTTTTCTTTACCAATGAGATGATGCTTCTGGTTATTTTATCACGTTTTCTGAAAAAAGGCCATTTTGTATTCTTTGAAATTGATGGCATCCTTTTTATGTTTCGTTAACCTGATTAGACGATTTGAATTTAAACTTTAGGATTATTCTGAGGGTAAAAACAAAACGACAAATGTCATAGCATCAAATTAAGATGAAAGATGTGGTTAAATTAAGTCAAAGCAAAATACAAGTTAAATTGAGAAAAAAAGATATGAAGTATCAGAAAACTATAACGAATATTTTAGGAATGAATATCACATTTTATGAAAACTTGTAAAAAACCAAGAAAGTTGTTTTGAAATTAAGTTTTTTTAATTTGAATCAAAGTTTAGAAATTAATCAATATGCTTTAATTAATTTCTTTTATCAAAATTTAAGAATTACATTTCCTGAAAAACAGTTCAGTAATTCGATCCTGGGCCGATTGTTGAAATGTACCATATACGGTCATGTATATAAAAATGAAGAAAAATTATGTTTGTTCTTTTCATTTGTATATATTTGAATATCCATATCTATTTTCTGTCTGTCTATCTATCTATAGCCTTTACAAAATCGGAAATGTGTACAAAATACTAAAAATAACTGCAGCTCATCTGTTTCTAACATAGTTCGAATTTCCTCCTATAAATATAAGAAAGTGTATATACGATATGAACATGTTCCTTGATCCGACCTCCTCGGTTCTTTAGATTTTAAATTCTCAGTAAAAGCTCCGGAAATGTAATTATAACAATACACTAGATAATTTATTGGTAAATTTTAAGAGGGTTTATTAGTGTTACAAAAATGTACCTGTTCTTTTTAACATGAAAAATAATAACAACGCCTTCATTAAATTATTAAAATACACGCTGATAGAAAACAAATGGTTAAAATTGAACAATGAAATTTTGGATAATCCTGCATTATAACGAGTTATTGTGTTCTAAAAATAGTTATAGATATATAATTATATAGATATCAAAACTCAAAGAATGCAAACTGAGGGAAACATCACTTTATATATGATAACATAAATATTACATTACAAAGTATGACTTGCATCTGTTTGAGTCTACATCCTTGAGACATTTCATAGGTCTAAGGTTGGGTGTTACAGATTGAAAGAAAATGCTTATTACTACTCCTAAACACGGGAAATAATCTCATCTTTCTTGCAGGTCGATTGTTTTTATCACAGTTTGTATTATTTACAAGATTTAAGAGACTTCTCACAGTTTTTTTTTACCTTTGTATATTTTTTTTAGATGTAAACTGTGTGATACCTTAGGCTTCTACAATTTATGCAAATCACACGATAACACAGGTATAATATTTCTTTACCTGTACCAGTGCTGAAATCAAGTTTAAGAAAGAAATTTAAGTCAGAAACCCGAATAGGATTTTGATAGATGAATATATTGTAAGATTATTTAAATGTAAATTTAAAGTAAATCTAAACATTGACAAGTATATTGGGGTGTTTAAAAAAATAAAGTACAAATATTGCCGTCACTCAATAAATTTCTAAATTTAAGTGTAAATGTAAAATAATCGTTATCTATACGTAAAAGCAGTTGTGAAATTAAATAGCATAATTCAATTATTGATTTAAAAAAGTGAACACTTTCTTAATTTTGAAGAAAAATCCCATTTTTTCAATTAAAGGTAGATATATTTGGAAAACACTCATTGGATATTTTATTCTAGTATTTTGATGACTTCACTATTTAAAAAAAAAACTCATTGTGTTTAATTAAGCGTAAACTATTCCGTGATTAATCCTATACAGTCATTTAAATTACCAGTAAGTAAATTTTAAAGTATTCTATAATTTGTATTCTGTAATATTCTTGTTATTACAAGTGGACACCTTCTAAAACTTAAAAATTAAGAATAAGAATGATCAAATTTAGATTTAGCTTTTAAAGAACCTAAATCTAATTTAAATTTAATTTATGGTGTACAGGGTGTCCCAAAACATATGTTACACTTTTAATCAGCTATAACTTTATCAAACCACAAGCATTCATAAAGTTATTTTGTCAACATCTAGTGTATTAGCATATATTTTATCTGACAAACTTTCATGAAATTCTGTTGAAAATTCAGGTAATTATGATGTCCAAATGACATCATCATATTTTTAATATGGAACCTTTATGTGAACAGCTGATAGAAATTGTCAAACTTTAATATGGGTGTAAATCTGCTACTTTAGTCATTTGAACCATGAGAAAACAACATCTTGTAATGAAAGTGCCCAACAGAATGCTAATTTACAGATTTCAGAGGAAGTTTGAAGTTAAAGGCACCATAATTGACACATGACTTAATTCTGGTATTAGATCTAGAAGACCAAGGAGTGCCCGTACCAAAGAGAACATTAATACCATTAATAGTGTTATTACTCTACAGAAACTTTATTTTAAAAAATCCCTTAGACGGGTACTGCATGAACAAGATAGCACCTTTGGTAAATATAGCGTTCATACAATACTCGAATTCGATTTAAAACTGATTTCTCATAAGATAATTGTAATGCAGCATTTGAAAGAGACAGAAATTAAAAGTTATTTAGAGTTGGCCCATTGGATTTTAATAAGACCCGACTCTTTGAATTTAACAGATCGATGCATCGTCTTCCGATGAAGCCCAACTTCCATTTTAACAATGTTGTTAAAAAGAATCTTAAATTCTAGTGTTTGGTGAAACCCAATTTTAATGTGGAAAAACCTCTAAACTGTCAGAATGTTACATTTAAAACTTGGTAAAAAACTTCAAAAATCGTATTCAAACAATGTTAATTCCAAAGGATGTAATTTGGAAGATGCTGTAAAATGGCCTATGTTTTTCTAAAGAAAAAATATTTATGATAAATAAGGAGACTGTAAAAAATGTATGCTTGACAAAAAATTTATTATAATTTTAGTACATATTTTTAATTTCATTAATATAACTTGAGGCATAAATTTTTAATAACGGTTTAAAAGTGTAACATATGTTTTGGGACACCCTGTACACAGGTAAAATTGCAACGTATGTTCAATAAAATGTTTTCAGTACCATATGTCCAAAAAAAAAGACTTTGCAATTTTACCTGTGTATGATTAATTGAAAAAAAAAATTAATGGTTAATTAAACTTTCAGATGACTAAGTGGTGTAATGTCTTCCTTGGAAGAACAACCATAACAATTAATATAAATGGATAGTCTGTAAGAAAGGAATATTATTTTCGAAAAATGTGTGGAAAACAAACCATATTCAAGCTCAAATTAGGAGCAGGGCAAACATCTATAATAAGATCAGTTGCAATGGAAGAAAAAGCATTACCTGCAAACCAGTTACAACCAACATGAGCTTGTTTGAATCCGGAAATAACCGAAAAATCAGTAGAGAATTCACCTTGAAAATACTGGCCTTACAATTAATAAAGAAAAGCCAGTCAGTATTTGACTATTTGCTACAGTTGCCATCGTACAGATACCATATAACTTCATAAATGATGATTTTAAACGAAACTGTTGAGATTTTTTTTTGTTTCATCAAATTGTTTGTTTTTTTTCAATAATTAATCTTGCTTTAGAAATTGTTCATACGTAAGGTTTACTCTTGTACGTCGAATTGAGATATAAACAGAGTGATGAATAAGAAGAGTACTGCTACATAAATAAGGGAAGATGGCGATTGAAAATTTGAAATCATCATGTTTACATTAAGCTTTGATGTTAGATTACCATTAACGTTTTTTTTTCAAATAAAATGTCCAAATATGAATGAAATATATGGAGCTAACGAACAATATTCAAGATCAAAAGTCCATCAAACAATACAAAATAGGAGCAGAGCAAACACGGACGTCCAAGACATCACACATTGGATCAGGTGCCATGGAGGAGTGATCATCCTCTGCCGACCGGTCACATCTGCGTGTGCTCCTTGTTGATGTATCAGACCCTGTGATATTTTTTACGAGAGCTGTTCAGTAAATAATGTCCTGAGCTCTATGATATACATGTACAACATAAAAATCATAATTATGACATATGCTTAATTTTCTCTCATGACTGAATCTTAAATTTGAATACAGTTTATATGACCACTTTTCATCACATACCAGGTAGTTTCATTGTGAGAAGCTGAAAAAACAAGGACTATTCGATTCACTGCATTAAAAATTAATGGTAAAGAATCAGTAAACCTGAATGAAATTAAACGCTGCTGTAAAAGTCGTCAAGAATCTCAAAGATATATTCACTGAAATGTGTGAAATTTAAGCAATCAGTGTTTGTTTTATACACACCTGAACAGGTGGATTTCAATCAACAAAAATGGTATAATGGGCATCAAAATTGGGTACAATCCTTGGCAACGAGGACTTACAACAACCACTTTACGGTTTGCCAAAATTAAAGAAATTATTACTGATGATATTTGATTGACTTTAAGACACATAGCAAAATTAATAGGCATCATTTTGGAAATAGTTTGCACTGTTTTAAAGAAACATTTGACAGTAAAAAGCTTAGCTCTCAATGGTCACCATATGTTTTGAAAAAATGAGTGAAAACGACAACGTGTAAGAACATGTAAATAATTATTTTTAAAAATCAAAAATTGTATTTATCAGCGTTTGTCTGAAATTCAAACAGATAATGAAACTTGAATACATTTCTCTAAACCCTCAAAACAAATTTACAATAAGATACACTTGAAAAAAAAACCAGTCATTGTCTGAGAGAAGCAAAGAATTGCGAAAGCATAAAACTAGTTTTATATGCCATTGTCTTAAATATCAGTCTTTTTGTTGTTCAAATTCATAGTCAGGGAGGCAGTTAAATTTCTGGAGAAGTCTAGAAAGCAAATTTCTGCAAAACAATTGAAAGGTTTAAGAGAGGATGTAGCCAGAATCAGGAATACACTACATTAAATTTCTTCATGACAGCGTCCAAACCCAGACGCCATGAAGAGTAAAGGAGTTTAGGGGATAAACAAATAGTTCATGTTTTGTCACACCAACAATATTCGCCAGATCATTCACCATTTGACTTGTTTCATTTTCCAAACTTGAAAAAACACCTTTCAGAAAGATGATACAAGTCCAGGAAATGATAGGATTTGCCATATTTCAGTATACGAAGGGTCATACTCAAAAATGTGTTCTAAAAAACAAACAGAAATTGGATAAAAATGTTACGGACATGTGTTTTAATTAAAAGAGAATATTTAAGTGAAATCATAAAGACTAAATTAATGAAAAAGCTTTTTTGTTTCTTTCCGAGCACCGAGGACATTATTTATTGAAAAGCCCTTGTATTTCAAAGTCATCGGCTGTATGAATTTAAAAAATGTACAATTTGATTGATATTTGGAATTTTTTAAAAAAAAAAAAGGTACGTGAATTAGAAGAATTTATGATGTCCAAAAAAAATGAATCTTTAGTGCTAAAATAAGTCAAAATATGCAAAGTGAACCTAATAGTAGGATGTACCAAGCACGTTATCCTTTTATATCAAGGTGAAGCTGTATAGTGAAGATCAATAACTCAAAATTGTTGGTATTCAAAAAGGTGTTATCACAGAAAATATAAGTATGAAAAAAGAAAGTTCTAACACCAACAGTTAAAAAGTAAATTCTTTTCTGAAAAAGCTTCCAAACTTACTACTCCAAATCTACTCCAAGGTGAAGTTAGTTAGGTCAGATATACTGGTATCAAACGAACTCTCAAGAAATATTTAATTAAATGAAATATGAAAATCTTACCTCCAACCGTTCAAAAGCTCATGAAGACCAAGATTTGAAGTGTTCTTCAAACTAAGATCAACGTACAAGGTCAACAGGTAAAAAAGGGCTTCTGCTAATGACGGGGCGCATTTGATACAACTGCTACTCATAAAATAATCGAGATATTTGATTTCTAAGTAATTCAAAATAAAAAATACATTTTCATCAATATTGACTGAATCTTTAACAGTTTATTGAGAGAAATTCTTTGTTTAGGACAATTTTTAGATCCTCTCTTTAGTTTCCTTAAATTTTATATCTTTAAACATAGTACTGATAGAATTTATCATTACATACCTTATGGTTATACATGTTTATTTATTATATAAACTTTATTATTTCAATTTTGTTTTAATTTCAAGATTTTTTTCCAACTTTCTATTTCCATTTATTTTTTTCATCCCATGTCTTCAGCATCAACGAATGGGATAACAGATTTTTTGGTGTTGGGGAGAATGAAGCGAAGCAAATGGATCACCAACAACAGATTGTTTTGGAGTGTGTCTACCGAGCCATGGAAGATGGCGGCTTTACAAAGACAGATTTTAACCAATCAGACACGGGGGTGTATCTAGGTAAGTCGTTCTTTATCATATTCACATACAGGAATATATTTAGGTAAGTCGTTCTTTATAATATTCACATACAAGAACATATTTAAGTAAGTCGTTCTTTATAATGTTTATTCTGTTTACAGATGTATGCAACTGCACACCAAGAAAAGTCATTCCAATTTAGATTTTAAAAATGTAATGTTGTTTAAAGAAACCACTAGGGTTCTTTTTTACAATAAGATTTTGAACTTCCTCTTCTAGATAAGAGGGTGATCAAAAGGTTCGCAAACTATCTCAGTTTCTATATTTACAAAACCACAATTCAGATCAGAATAAAATTTGGCACACATAGAGTCATATCCACGTTCTATAAATAGCAAATGTAATTGAACGTTTTGACCGGTGTTTGTGACGTCACAATGTGAAAATGACGTTATAAGGTAGATCACTTGTGACAAAAATGGTTGACTCGGTCGTATTCAAGAAACGAATGGCTGTAAAGTTTAACATATCTTGGAAATTCCTTTGCAGAAATTTATAATAATTTTTACACTGTTTATGAAGACAAAAGACTTGCCTGAAGTTTTGTCATCAATTGGATTGATTGTTTAATTGAAGGAAGGGAGATGTTAAAAAATGATATTTGTTCTGTTGCCCAGTAGAAGCAAACTAGGAAAGAGACGTGTCTTTTGTTAAGCAATTGGATATGAAAGATCGTTGAGGGGCAATATCCCTCTGCTCCAAAATTCATGATTTTTTTTAAAATTCCAAACATTGATTTTCATCAACAACTATAGCATTAAATTCAAATGGAAAATAGTTTGAAGTATGAAGCGTTGCTTACTTTTTCTGAAATGAATAATATGTCATATCATGATGTGAAGAAAATTTGATATTGTTAATAGAAAGGTAGATTATTTTTTATCTCACAATAAAATCAGATATATGAGGTATTTATAGAAATAATATTTACTCTCATACCTATCTAATACTCATTAGAAAACATACTGAAGCATTGCTTTTTAAATCAGAATATCAAATTGTTTTCTGTGCTTGTAAAATAATACGCATCAATAAACAAGAGTTATCTTTCGATCCATTATCGCCCTTGAAAATAGTTTTATTGAAACAAAATATTAATTAAATGTTTAAAAACAATCTGCATCTGAAATTTCTATAACAATTAAATGATTTCTACGTTAAGAGATAGAAATATCTTAATTTACACCGTTTAAAGGAACTGAGTGTAAATGTTTTAGGTAAACTATTATAAATAATTAATAAAAATATTGGCAATAGAAACTAGAAATGCACATCTGAACGTTAAAATAGTTTGAATTGACTTTGACTTGACATGAAATTGTTCCATGTGAATAAAATCCATGATCTCTGACATGAATATTCTATGAATTTCATGGGAATTGATGAGAATTTGTCTTCAGAAAGTTATCTCTCTTATCAGAGGGATATTGTCCCTTAAATCCCTAAAATGTCGTTCATCTTAGACTTTAAACATATCAGATATGATAAATTGAAGGCACCACTTCGATATCCACATGAAATAAACGACGCCGCTCAAAAGACAGAGGACTTGGGTTTTGATGGTCACCATGCTCATTCTGCAAAAGGATATCATTATCCACCCATATGATTACGCATTTCTGACAAATGGACTAGTTTTGTTGTAAAAAAAAATAACTTACATGGTAAGAAGTCGGAAAAAATTTTAAACCTCTTTGACAGAACGTCAAGGAACATGTCACGTGACCGCCCTTATCACCTGATCCGCGCATGGGCATGGTTTCTGGTTTAAATGCAAATTTGAGTCATGATTTTATCAGATTACTCATTCCATTTATTTGAATGAAGGCCCGTTAAATTGAAGATTTTCTAGACATGAAATGAGAAAATTTTTGTATATCAACAAGTAAGCCTACAGTTCAACATATAACTTCTAAGGAGGACGTGATTTAAATAAATCACGATTTAACTAACTTTCAGTATCTTTGGGAAATCTTTATCCGCTAGCTTCATGCATTTCTCTGATCGACTTTGAATTTTACTAGCTGCCATGAAAAAGAAACATATTTTATGATTATTTAATAACTCGTGACGTCATCAATTGAAAAGAATAAATTTCTGCTCTAATTTAGAGATGAATTATAAATGTTCTGATTGACATATTAGTCCCAATTTAGTTTTTTTCCCTTTCATCACTTTTAAGAAGAAGCACCTTATGCCGCAAAATTGTTTAAAATAATTCTGAAAAATATCGATTTATAAAACAATATGTATTAATACAAAAATATAAATAATGACATAAGGTTTCTTTCTGGCATAAAGATCAAAATGTAGGTCATTTGAAAAACATTTTCATTGACATTTTGTCAGCGTTATCTGTATCATGCATTGAAACTTTGCTGCAAATTTGCAGCAAGAGCGTTGCTAGTTGCAGTCAAATGAAAACATGATATTTTTTTCCTGCATATTGTTTGACGCGAACTTCCAGAATGCTTGCTAAAGGTCTGCAAAAAATGTTTAGCGTTTTGCTAAGTCATAACAATTTAACCTTTTTGAAAACATGGAAAATGATCATAAAACTTTTACCTTATACATGCAATTTTGTAATAAAGTCGAAGATGACTTAATCTTTCATTTTTCTGTTTATTCTTGTAGGCGCAATGAATGGCGAATATGAAGCTGTTGCGGGACACGATCTGAAGCAGATGACCAATTACTCAGTGACAGGACTTCAGCGAAGCATCATTTCCGCCAGAGTGGCCTACTTTTTGAACCTTCACGGTCCAGCGATTACTCTGGATACAGCTTGTTCTTCTTCCCTTGTTGCAATTAACACCGCTGAACAAGCCATCAAATCTGGTAAAATATTCCTTTCAGACTTTATTTATTTGTTAGCTAGGTGCACTTTTACCTTGAATAAAGAACCCAGCCTTTTAACGTATTTGAAAAAAAGAAATTTTTATTGGACATGAATATAATCTTTACAAATACACGTGTACCTTCATTTTTAATATATAGCTTTGACAAAAGAAAATAAAATTTTGATAGACCTACACTGTAATTTATTAAACATAGCTGAACACATGATATATTTTGTGAAAATAAGCTTTCCATTAATGTTTTATCAAATAAGCTAGATTTCATAGTTGTTTAATAAAGCATTAAAAAACATAAATGAAATATGTCTTTACTAGACATATTTTGTTTTAAAAAGTTTAAAATTGTCAAGTAAGGCTGTTGTTAAACAAGCTTAATTCATTAATCTAAATGCTATTGTAATTCAAGGAGAGGTAGATATGGCTATATGCGGAGGAGTTAATGTCTTATTAAGCCCAACCATGCCGATTGCATTGGCAAAAGCTAGAATGGCCTCAAAGACTGGAAAATGTCACACTTTCTCCAAGAATGCTGATGGCTATACCAGAGGAGAAGGGTGTGGAATCGTCATTCTAAAACGACTTGGTGATGTACGTACCTCCCCAAAACAGGGTTTATTTTGGTGTGTATGGGATGATCAAAGATAACTCAGTGTGTGTTATGCAAGAAATCTAAGGGACTACAAGATAGTTAAAATAAACATATTTCAATAAAAAAAAGTTTCCCTATATTTCCAATAAATATCATGTTTTTATTGACTGATTTCGATTGCATCGTGCGTTTGTCGGACCCTTGAACAAAATGTTCACCGTAGGCAAAAGGCAAACAGTTTGTTTCGAGGAGTCTGCAAAGTGCATTTTGCCCCAGAACACAGTAAATGAATGATTTGTTTTACCTTTTAGTTTTTACCTTACTATTCTGACTTTCATTTACCCGCATAGGGTGTAAATATAGCTCATTTTCACGAAGTTCTGCCGAACTCGAACAGATGCAAATTAGGTAATAGATTATCATGGTCACAACGTAAGCGGTATATTGTCTCATCGACGAGACCATTATCTCACCGTGTGGCCTAGAATCGGACTTATTATTGCAGCCCGGAGGACCGGGCTGCTCTATACATATAAGTTTAAGTGTTGGTGTATGGGGATTGGGATGATGGGAGAAGTTATTCAGAATTTAAGGTTTTCTAAACATTGAAAAGATTGTTAATCAGAATGTTTTTCATTTATAAATTACGAGAAACATAATATATTTACTTCGGTAACGTGAATCTGTAAAAATGTATATGTTTCTCATATTTAATATATAAAGTTGCTTATCATTTGCTATCTAAAAAATGACAGATCCCTTTTTAGGACATCGACTTTTACTTCTCGCATAAAAACGTACTCTGCACAGTTCGTGTTTTATATTCTAAAATTGAAAATTGATACATTTATGAATATAGGTTATACATGAGTCTAACTTCAATTTATATTTTATGCAGCCAACATTTATAATACATGAAGAATTAATCAAGTTTAATAGGGTATCTTTTTGTTTGATTTTTATCCGACTATAAGTTTTCAAAATATTCGCGACTATCGTCTCCATCAATCAGACGCATGCCTTTTCACACATATCGAAGCGGTTTGATGATCAAGACTCATTTCCATTGTTTACTTTATATATTTCCCGGGCGACAATTGATGGTTACATCAATGTTTTCTTGTTAGTATTTATTTACATTATGGCCCTCCGTTAAACATTGAGAAATATTGGACGTTTTTCAGTATAAATTTAATCACTTGAAAACAATTCATAGAGATATGAAAATATTTACTTACAGTAGGCTTGTTCTTGCTTTGAACCCTAAATGATTGTAGTAACCTCATTATTTTTAACACTGTAGGCTCTCCGTGACAACAACAAAATTTGGGGGATCGTCGCCAGTTCCTGCAACCAAGATGGACAGGAGAATTCCCCAATTACGGCACCTGCGGGCGTTCAACAGGTCAAACTATTGGAGAGAATTTTCAAGAAAACAGCAGTGCATCCCGGCAGCATTCAATACATAGAAGCGCACGGTATTTCACAAAGATTATCATATTGCTATTGTTCTTCATATATCATGGCTTTAGACAAATTTTATAAATGAAATAGTTTAAGGACCATGCTCAGTGCTCACAGAAATCTTCTCTATGGTTTTGTGGGTAACATGGGCATAAAACAGATATTTCTATTTAGAATTCACTATTTGTGAGCCTTCTGTTCTTCAGATTTTCGCGAATTTAAAGAATGCCTTATGTTTTTTACTTTGATTTATTAATTCCATTAAAACAATAAAATCAATTCGATACGTAACATTTCGTCAGCATTTTATTTTGCATTAATATTGTCAAAACCGCGATAATATCTGTTTCAGAAATTAGATGATCCATATAAAACGGACTTCATAATATAAAAAAAAACATTTAGTGAATAAATTTTGAGTAAGAGTTGTTGCACTTTGTTCAAATTTCTAAAGATTAAAAAAAATGTGTTCGATTTACTTTTAAAACCATACTACAACTGATTTTATTTTGTGTTATTTTCTTCATCAAAGACTTTATTTGAGAAAATAAAACCGGATGTATCTAAGGGTGTTTGACTCGTCCACCATTTTTTTGTTTATTTGAGTTAAAGGCTGACTTACGTTTTCATACTAATTGTTAGCTCATTATTTATACACTGAATCGACGAAGGATTTTTCCGTTATTTCCCGATCATGATAAAGAGCATACGGTGGTTTTGAGCGGGTGGCAGAGGATGCTCACTCCTCCATGGCATCTGATCCCAGCTCTGATGTTTTGGAGGTCCGTGTTTGCTTTGCTCCTATTTTGTATTGTTTTAAGGATTTTTGATCTTGAATATTGTTCGTTATCTCCATATGTTTTATTACATGTTGTTTTACTTCCCTCTCGAGAATACTAGTATTTCAAAGAATTCCAACTTTTATCAAATATTTTTCCTCGCTGTAGTAAATTTTATGATATTTAAAGTCAGAAAGGCGGGTTACAACAAAAAAAATACAAATTTTACAACATTTTAATCTGCTTTTCTAATAGCTTTAAACACAAATGTTTTTTTTTACCACACAGCTCTTTCCCAAATTCATTAGCTGTAACTGTGTTTTACTGTATATCTGTGAAAAATTCCTTAAATCAGGCCTGATGTTTGATTGCAGGAACTGGTACTCCTGTTGGGGATCCCATAGAAGTCAATGCTTTGGGGGAATTCTTTGGTTCCTATTCTAATGGCCATAATGTCAGAATAGGATCTGTGAAAACAAATATAGGGCATCTTGAATCGGCGGCTGGTATTGCGGGACTCATCAAGGTTCTGTTAATGATGAAACATGGTCAGTATGTGCCATCATTAAATGCAGAAGAATTGAACGAAAATATTCCATTTGAAAAGTACAGATTTGTAGTTGGCCGAGATAATGTAGAATGGAAAAAAGATATCCAGGGCTGTAGATTGGCTTGTATCAATTGCTTTGGTTTCGGAGGCACAAATTCACATGCAATAGTATATCAAAAAGAAAATCTTAGTTTACTTTCTAAAACAAACAAAGACTGTACGAAAGAAGTCTTATTTCCCAATCACAGAGTGGTTGTGGTTTCTGCAGTTACAAGACAATCATTGAAAGAAATAGCCCAAGATCTCAGGCAAAATTTGAATGAGAAGTTGGAGGATATATCATCTACATCTGTGTTTAGGAGGGAGCATTTCAAATACCGTGAACTGATAGTTACGAATTCAAAAAGCAATCTAAATGATCAATTGAAAAGTGTTGCAATAAAAGATGACCACACTGTTTCTGGAACGTTTTCCAAGTCACCAAGCATAGTATTTGTCTTCTGTGGCGTAGGGACAACATGGACCGGTATGTGTTCAGAAATTATGGCAAAAAGTCCTGTGTTCAGAAAATGTGTCATTGAAATCGACACATATTTGGAAAAACTAAATGCAAACATGTCAATGTACAAAACAATTTTAAACCGAAATGAAATTTATGACAATCCAATGAAAACTCACATAGCAATTTTTACCATACAAGTTGCTCTCGCTGCATCTTGGAGACACATAGGTATAAATCCTTCTGCAGTTGTCGGGCAGTCCGTTGGTGAAGTGGCTGCAGCTTACGAGTGTGGTTCACTTTCACTTGAAGATGCTGTTACCGTTATTTATCACAGGTCACTTGCATTAACGGCTTGCCAAAGTGGCGCGATGATGGTCATTCGAAACTGTGCAACGGAAGAGGTAAACGAAGCATGTAAAGAAATTTCCAAAGGTAGCAGAAACAAAGTCAATATTGCCGTCTACAACAGCAGCGAATCGAGCACTGTATCTGGAGATAAAGAAGCGCTTGAAGAATTAAAGACACGTTTGCCAAGTGATGCTAAGTTTATTCCACTTAATGCGCCATGTGCATACCATAGCCATCATACAAAACAGGCCAGCGAACGCCTCTTTGAAAAACTGCAAAGTCTTCGTCCGAACACACCGCGAGTTCAGATCTTTTCAACAGTCGCAGGAAAGGGAATCCAGAATGACTTTGCTACAGCAAAGTATTGGGCATCCAATGTTTTACAACCCGTGCTCTTTATGCAAGCCATGAAGTCAGTCAAGGATGAACTGAACGAGGTTATCTTTTTAGAGATAGGACCAAGGCCTGTATTCCAAGCACACGTTTCAAATGTGTTTCCTGACGATGACGTGACCGTCCTTCCTTCCGTTCAGAAAAATAATGATATCAAAACATTTTTGAATTCGCTCAATGCATTGTTTGGAAATGGTGTTACACCACTATGGGAGAATATAACTGAAATGGATGGATGTCTCTCTGAGTTTCCGCGGTATATATTCAGCAAGCTTGAGTTCAGACTAAATTCGGAAATGATCAATCGACTGACACAGGAAAACAGTTTAGAGGGGCACTCCGGTCGAATGATTCGGTATATACCAGGATCCGACGGAGAATTTAATATTTACATTTCAAGATCGAACACGCCATTTGTTTATGAACATGTGGTAGAAAACAGAATTATTATACCAGGGGCACTATATGGCGAGACAGCACTCGAAATTGGAAGAATTTTGCTGTCAGGGAACGTAGAGGATCTTGAAGTTTCATGGAAAATAAAGAAGCCTTTTGAAATTGCCATGAACGAGCAAAAGTCTCTTCACATCGATACTGATTTAGTATCTCTCCAGAGAGTTGACTTTAAGGTCCGGGAATCAGAAAGTTCCCTAATATTAGCTGAGGGCAAGGTGATGCTAGTGAATCAAGTAGATTCCATCACCCTTGATGTGGCTGGTGTGGGAACAAAACTCGCAAAGAAATCCAGTAACGATATCTACAAATTTCTTAATACTCTGGGTTTCAAACATGGTCCGTCATTTCGAATAATTTCTGAGTTTCAGACATCACAAAGAGAATGCCTTGCCGAAATTGTTTTGACAAAAAATGTCCAAATGGATATGCCAAGAGCCTGTTTTCATCCTGTCCTCATTGATGGCATGTTTCAGTCCTGTATAAATCCAAATTGGCAATCAGGTTTTTATCACAGATCGCGTATGCTTCCCACTGAAGTCAAGAAATTTAGAGTAAAACTAGCACCAACATCGAAGATGTCTTGTTATTCAAAATTAGTATTGAATGATAATTTCAAACTAGTTTGTAATGCAGTACTAGTGCGAGAGAATGGACTCATTGTAGCAGAGATGGAAGGGTTTGAACTGAAGATAATTTCTGACGAAGTTGATATTCATAGGCTCTTCTTTGAAGAAAAATGGCAGGAAATCACTCTTCCTACAAATAACTCTGCAAACAGCAATCCAAATCCAAGTTTGGTGTTTTCGTGGAACAGGAAAGCAATAGCTGAAGCCAGAGACACTCTTTGTAGAATTTGCTCAAGTTTAGATATTGTCAGTCTTTCGTGCGAGGCAGAAGAGGAAAATTTCCTGTCATCATTGAAAGAAAAAAGAAATGTTGATTTATACTTTATTCCTGGTTTTTCAAAAGCTGAAAATGATGCGAACGGGAATCATGTATTAGAAGCTGTGAAAAAGTCATCCCACATTCTATTTAAAGTACTTCAAGAAATAGATATGAAAAGGATGAGTTTGTGTGTTATTACAGAATGGACACAGGGTGGTGAAGAAAGGGAAATCTGTGGAATTTTTGGATCAGAACTCTGGGGTATCAGTCGGTCATTTCAAAAGGAACGTCCTGATTTTAAACTCATAATGATAGATCTCCATGGAAACATGACCGACCTCCAAAATTCATTTCTTTCAGTAATCAGAGCTTTAAAAAATGACAAGGAAAATGCATTGCCTCGGGAATACATCATATCGTCAACAGGAGTGATGTCAAAATATTTACAAAATATACCATCAAATTATTTTGATAATGTTGTCAGAACAATTGAATCCTCAACGGAAAACGCCTTTTCTGTGCGGAAAAGGTCAGAGATAGACAATAACGCTTTATTCCTAGTACCAAGCTTAGAATCTTCAAATAGTGATAAGGAAAGTTGCAGTGTTTCGATCCATGAAGCACTGTTGTGTTTTAAAAACAACCTATTTCTGCATCAAAAAACAATCCCGATTACAAAGTATTGGGGTAAAAGTTTGGACATCGGTAATGCTATTGTTGCATGTGAGTTTGTAGGACATTTAACAAAAAGTGGGATGCAGGTTGTGGGATGTTGTCTTGTCAATGTAGCCAGTACTATTTCGGTAAACAGGTTGTGTACATGTGAACTATCAGAGTTGCCGTTTTATAGGACAGGAATGTTTTTAAACACTGTCGTTGCAATGTGTTTGGCTGGCAAAATCGAAAAAAAGAACCATGTCTTCGTACTATATGACGAGGAATACAAGGATCTCAAAGACATTTTGAAGGCATTGCTACAAAAGAAACATTGTGCTGTATTAACAGAGGTGTTTGACGTTTCAAAGGACAGTCAAGATCCAACAGCAACAAACTTAATCGTGCTCTCAAAACAGGTGGTCTGTTCTTTTGACGTTATTGTGAAGTGGTTTCCTAGGCTTCAGCAACTACTCAGTATAAAGGGTTTCTTGCCATTGTCTACAACAGCGAACGATCCAATAAATTACCCAAACAGAAAAACATGCGTGATCGATGTTTATGAATTATTTGAGCCACCAAACATGCGAAAACACTTTCAACAGGCAAAACATATCTTACTCGACAATAGAGATATTGTTTCGCGAATGTCCCCACAAAATGATGAATGTATTTTAAACGTATCGTCCATGAAAGGATCTACGAAAATAACAGTTCCAAATGAAATGTTAGTAAGGAAAGACTCTGCATACATTGTTATAGGTGGACTTTCAGGCTTAGGATGGGAAGTAACGAAATTTTTGGCCGCTCGTGGTGCAAAGGTGGTCGTAAGTTTATCTAGACGCACCCCATCTGATGTGGAAAATCGGCGCATAGAAAACACCAAAAATATCCGAAATACAGTCATCCTGCATGAGAAAGTTGACATTACTCAGAGAAAAGACTTAGAGCATGTTTTCTCCAAACTTGTACATCAGCTAGAAGGTACCAAAATTCGTGGAGTTTTTCATGGCGCAGGCGTTCTTTCGGACCAACCCATTAGCAAGATGACCAGTGATACATTTGATGTTCCTTTGATACCAAAGATTTTAGGTACCTGGAATTTGCATCTGGTGACGAAAGATATGGACCTAGATTATTTTGTCATGCATTCTAGTATTGTGTCTCTTTTGGGCAATAAAAGTCAGACTAACTATGCTGCAGGAAATGCTTTTATGGATGCCTTTGCCTATTACAGACGTTCAACTGGAAGGGCCGCACAGGTAATAAACTGGGGACTGCTTGCAGTAGGAATGGGAGCAGATCAAAATATTCAGTCAGTTAATGCAATGAACGGTCTTTATGCTTTGCCAAAACATAAAATAATATTTGCATTGAATCACGCATTGGTCTCCGTCAGAGTACAATTTGCATTTGCCGACATCAGTATGTCTTTACTATCCGGAGGTATGGAAAAAGAGGGAAAAGAAAAAAAACAAAATACCAAACATGCAACAATTCAAGATCTGAATCCTGGTAATCAAGATTCGTCCCAAACTAAGGAAGAGTTGCTTCAGTCCTGGATTGATTTTGTCAAGTTGTCTGCATCTTCAGTGTTAACAGTTGACCAAACAGAAATAAAGGATTCGTCCATTCTGCTCGATTTTGGTTTGGACTCACAGAAAGCAATAGAGCTTATCAATTACTTATTTGAATCTAGTCATATTCGGCTACCGGTAGTTTATTTAATGTCAGGAAAAAATACCGTGGTTGAAATAGCTGAATATTTCCTTTCCAGACTGTCCAAGGAAGAGGGAATACAAGATGATGATTACATTTACGAAAGTCTGTCATATCTGGAGCAACATTATCTAGAATTACAAGAAAACGATCCAGAAAATCCGCATTTATTGATAACATTAGACTTCACCGTGCGTTGGGAATTGAACAGCGTAGAAACTTGGAAAGTCTCACTTCTTAATCTGATTGCATTCAATCCCGAATGTAGAACAATACTCCAAGAGACCGAACCTGGTATGAAGCGCGGTAACAAACGAAAAGTTATCATAGATATTGAAGATGTTTGCTTCCACTTCATCACAGTTTCTTCAAAGTTCGAATTAGAAAAGGTGTCGAAAGACATATCGAAGTTTGATCCATATGAAGATATTCCAATTAAGGCTATATTTTGGAAGTCTCAGGAATTCGGTAATCTCAGAATTTTGCTGAATCACAGTAATTTCGACAATGGGTGCGTTATGGCTATCGCAAAAGATCTTGAATATATTACCACACAATACCTATTACATCAACGGTTTTCAGATGTGATTGTGCGTCAGCCAATAGACTCAGCTTTGTTGATGGAAAAGCATCTGAATGAACAAATCGACGAACTTAAGACGTATTGGGACCAAGAGCTTTCAAAATGCAGGGAACCTCAAAGTTTTCGACTGGTTGAAAGAGTAGAAGATGAGAGAGGATCAAATACAAGTGAACTGATCAGGAAGAACTTTGATGTCAGCAGATTACAAAAACTGGAAGAGGTAGCATCGAAGCATCAAATTACTCTATTTTCTCTATTTTGTACTGCTTTTCAACTATCGCTTCGAAAGCAATTGAATTGTCAACGACCATGTGTCGTTACTGCAGTTGATACAAGATTACATTTTCCGGAATTTCGTGAGCGGCCAACTTTGTGCGTTAATTACATTCCCATTATTTCACCAGATATGTCAGATCCAAGGTCTACGTTGCGTGACATTCTAAATGAAAATAAAACTATTATTGCCGAAGGAGTGTCCAAAAGTCTTTTTCCTTTAAAACTTTTGAAGGAATTGCCCAATTTCAAAGAAGAAATACATACAGTCCATTCAATAATAATGGAAGACTTGACAATTTGGAAAGCGTTTAACACATCGCATATTAAGTTGTCGAACTTCAGTGTGGAACAAGATTCATCGTACGAAACAAACCTTAGTGTGATTATTCTGCCAGATAAGTCTCTGGAGCTGAGATTGAGGTACTCCGTGGAGAAAGTGGGGAGATATTATGCAGAAAACCTCCTGGAAAATATTGAGATGATACTGGGATATATGGAATCCGATTTTAATTTTTGCATCCACACTTGGCGTTCCTTTTGCAAAATTGAGCAGGAAATCGAAAGTTCAACATACGGTAAGTTTTTAAAAAAAAAAATGAAAAATTTAAAGTGATATTTCAATGTTTTTCACTTACATTTGATTAAAATATCTTCTTAATACTGATAATCATTATAAACTTTTATTTCAGAAAATTTCTTCCTGTACGACAGAAAGGGGAAAGCAAAGAAAAAGAAAGTAGAAATTAGACAACATCCTACTTTCACGTTGGAGTGGGGTAAACGCCGAATGAGAAAAGTCTCTATTCCAGAGATCAAATTTATCAGGACCTATAACGCTGAAGGTACTATGATTTTCTGTTTTGTTTGATTAATACACGCCCAGTAGAAGCAAATTCAAGGGAGCGGGACACTGTAGCAACCGCTAATGAAGAAATGCCGAGCTTTGCAATGTCATAAATTATTGCATTAATAGTTGACATTCGAACTCTGCCGCTTAATGATATGATTCTTTCATTTAGCGGCGATTTAGCAATATTAGTTGAGAATGGCAACTATTGATGTAATAATTTATAGCATTCAGCGTTGCAACGCTTATTGATATCTCGATCTCATTAAACGACGTTTTATCATTAGCAGTTGCTACAGGGCACCCGAATACATAAGTGGGGGGAGGGGGGCTACACTGTACCAAGTATTCCTTGACACGCAAATAAAAAGAGGTCATTGATATTCGACTTTATATTCGAAAGACACAAGCTACATCTGTAAATTTCTATAGTTAACGCCCCCACCTACCCCTCCCTCCTTTGTGGTTTTCGCCGGCCATGTTATATGCTTTAATAAATTTCTTAATGAATTTTTGCAATACTTGAATTCAAAGCATAGACTTCGAGATACAATTTGTAATTTTCAATTCATTGTTCATTTTGTAGATTTCTACGGGATATTCCTGAAGACGTTGGATTCTGGCCTCCGCTTGGCGGTGAAAGATCGAAGAACTCGTGACGCCTGGGTGGCTGTTCTCAAAAGGAAAATGTCCGAATATGGTGAAGAACAAGCCGCGGACACTAGACTCTGAAAAAAAGTCATATCTTAATATCGAAAATTTCTTCCAATGACAATCAGAGAAAAAAACACGTATTGTTCCAATGACAATCATAGAAAAAAAAAATCTCGTTTTGTGTTCCATTAAATCTAAATTTATGTAATTTACATGTTATCAAAAGTGAAGTTTCTGAAAATCCATGTTTTAACTTGCTTGGAATATATTGAAATGTGGCTTATGGTCAGAAACTAATGTCAAAGTACATGTAATATATGACCCATTATTGACATATTGTAAGGGAAACCCTGTCATTGTTGTAAACTTCCTTCCTTTGTTTGTTTGTTTGCTTGTTTGTTTGTTTGTTTGTTTTGTTTGCTTGTTTGTTTGTTTGTTTTGTTTGCTTGTTTGTTTGTTTGTTTGTTTGTTTTTTTTGTTTTTTGTTTTTTTTGCAGATATATATAAGATTATTTAAATTTAAACTTTCACTTAGACATACATTTACATAATTAACCCGTTTTTAGAAGTAAAGGTTACAAGGGAAAAAATGAAAACTTACCCGAAAGACAAGCAAAATAACACTAACTACTTTTTAAAAAAAATTTTATCATGCTTTAACTATTTAGACTATAAAGAATTTTAGCATTGATCGTAGCCAATTTAATAAATAAATATAATTGTAATATTCACAATATTGATAGCTTTCAAAATTAACTTTCAGACATATTTTTTAAAAAAGTAAAATTAATATTCATAAGCAAGATATTCCAATTCAATATTTTTTCCATAAAATTTGACCACTAAATTTTTTTAAGTTCATGTTTGTTTGTACTTACAGTTTATCAAACATGAATATATTTTTTTTTCTCCGTTTGATTTGTGAAATTCATTTTCTCACAGTTAATCATTGAGAATTATATTGATGTACATTTATATTCATAATTTAAGCCGATTTTTGTCAATTTTTTATCTTGTTTTATTATTTTGTTTCGTTTTTAAATCAAATTTACATATCTACGTATTACAAATATCCCGGTATGCAAAATATCCCGATGATCTAATGTGCAATATATAACTTTTTTTATATGTATATCTTTAAATTTAATAAAGTTCTATGCTGTATATTCTTGATGTTTTTGAAGATAAAACTCGGTAACAGTTAGGATTTGCAGATGTTAACGATAAATTTTTATCTCCCCGGGGGGGGGGGGGGGGGGGCAGTATCAGAAGTCTTGAGTATTGAAGCTATATATCGATTGCTTAAAAAGGGAACATGTTCAACATGAGCATAATTTATAAATAGAAAGAACTCACCGTGTTTAAGGGCACATGTGGGGTTTCGGTTAAGTAACATATGGGGTTTCAACTCTGAAGCGGTGATTTTTTGCATTTGGAAAATATATTTGTAAAAATCCTTTGCTAATGAATTCTTCGGGGCCAAATGACATGCGCACGGGTTGTAAGAATGTATTACCTTCCAATTTAGTGCAATAGGCTGGTTGAAAGCGTTACCTATTCTGCAAACACTTCTGGACAGTTCACTCGTCTGGGAAAAGTTGTGGTGTCGCTGACATTCTTTGCTCCATGATTTTCAAAAGCGGACCTTTAAGCTCATTTTAAGAATGATAGATAAAGATTGATATAAAAACAATCCATGAAAACTTTTTTCATCTTTAACAGTCTCTATTTCTGTAAGAAATATAAACTTTTATGGCCAAATTCTACTGTGCCTAACGGGGTTTCAAGGTTTGTTAACATAGGGGGTTTCAACTCAAAGGCTTTTTCTATGTTTTAATCTTTGGATTTGGATTCCTGGTTCATTCATCACGAAGAAAAAGTGAATGGCCATATGGAAGGCAAAAGATTTGTTTTTCACCGGTGTGCAAAGCCTTTTACGCAACTCAATTTCTTATTTTTTGATATCGTCTGTCCTATAACAGCGCCAAAAATTAATCCAAAAATAATAATCCAATGCTTACATTATCGTTCTCTAATTTTCTCTCTGTATAATTGTAAATTTCAACATACTTTCTTATGAATTTAGCGGACGTACATGTAAAAGCCGTTTGTGACATAAAATGTTAAATGTGGGGGGGGGGGGGTGACTTACAAATGTTATATTTTTATGATAAATTATTCCATTGATTTTAATTAAATTGAGTCAAAACAATGCACATTTTAGCGTTCCAAGAATATTGCTAATTCCTACTATGTATTCCATCGCGCAGTGATAAGGTTTGGTGTGTTTGATAGGATATTGAATGCAATTAAATAAGAATTCCAATGGATTTCAAAAAGAAAAAATACTTTGAATGTAAAAATATACAGACATGAATACTCACTTTAATCTCTATCGGCTACCTATCAAATCTAGACATCATTTAAAATTCTGACGTATGTATAACTGTTCAGTGGGCCAAGCACTTAATTGAACTTTTGTCCAACGCCAATAATAAAGGAAAACTGTTAAACAGGATGAGAGTTTTTATACAACAAGTTTTGGCTCCAAAAACATAAAGCAATAGTAAGCAAAAAATGTCCTTAAACAAAAGAGTTCCTCATAGTTATTAAGCAAGTCGTACATAAAACACTGGCGCAACCTCTTCTCTCATTTTTGTCTCTTTTTTGTTTTGGTTATAAACGCACTCTCTGTGGCAGATACAGACTAGCTGAGAAAATAACTTGTACAAATAAAAGTCAAACTTTAAGAAATGCTTAAAAAACAAATTGGTCTTACTAATTAAGAAAATAACTGTTTACAGGGATACAACATAGTCCTTCAAGTAAGACGGAGGATTTCTTGCTCTCTGGGGGCGATTTGAGGCATCATGGGACTCTTCCTCTGTATCTTAATCCCGCACTTCCTCGCGTGTCTTTTCGGTTGTCTGTGGGGGTGTACATAGCACTTCTGGGATTGGAGGTGGTTCATAGGTGGAGACTTCATGTTGTGGGATGGTTTCTGCAGGTTTTGGGGGGAGAAGCTTCTCAGTAGTGTCGAGTTCTGAGATGGGGATATCTTCCAGGTCTTCGTTGTCAGGGATGTGTTGGCGTTGGGGCTTAGAGGTTACTTCTGTTGGAACACGGTAACACTCACTTGCTTTGATCTTGTAGGAGTTAGATCGTAATTGTTGACCTGAAATTTTTTTCACATAGCACCACTCATCATTTACTGAGACTACAATATATCTGGGACGGGCTTTGGTCTTGTCTCTGTCCGAATACAAATACACTAGATCACCGACAGATGGGATAGAAAGAGGGCGAGGCCCTTTTGAGTTTGACTTGGACCATGCACTGCTGATGTGGTTCGAGTCCCGTTGAGCTTGTTTTTGGGCGATAATCTCCCGGTCGACCATGGGAAGTTGTTCATGTGTGAACTGATTGCGTTGGGTATACATTTCTCGTGCTGACAGGCCCTCACTACGGATACGGGAATTGAGTCTGGCTACGGCAGTGGAAAGGCTAAGCTGTGAAACTGGGCCTCCTCCAAGCTCTTGCCGAAGTATTTCCTCCTCAAGTTCTGCAACAGCTTTTTCCGCTACTGGGTTCTTATTAGGGTTTTTAACTCGGCCGATTTCAAGGTTGATGCGATAGTGATCTAAGAGGTCATCCTCGTGCAAGGCCACAAAACCTGGAGCAGGGTCGACACGGATAATAGCACTTGGCCCATCGAGTGGGTGGAGATCCATGCACAGCAGGAGCAGTGCTTCCCTCAAGGTATGGGCCTTTTCATCAGCAACTAGACTTGCGGCTGTATAGGCGGTTACCGTTTCTCTTAAGACCAGGATTAGTTGGTGGTTTTGCTTTATGACGTCAGCAGCAAAGTTAATCCCAATGACATCAGGGGGAGGTTCTGACGACTGTTCAATGTAGCTATTTGGAAATTTTTTGAGTGAAGCGCAGGTATGGCAAGAGTCACATACACGGTCTACTGATTGAGGCAAATCCAATGCATAGAAGTTGCGCGTTATGACCAACAACATTTGGTGTTTTGTAGGATGATCCAAACGAATGTGAAGGGCAGTTACAAGGCCATCAAGGACACTGCGTGGGACTATGATGAGCTCAGTTGGTGGCTGTAGCGGATCAGACCTGCATGCCACAAGTAATCCATCTCTTGCAATCGTGGCTATGTTCAAATATCGCTTGACGTCTCGGATATTTGTGAGTTTTTTGGAGGGTCTGGTACCCTGTTTTAAGTGTGCATGAGTTCGTCTTAGGTCCGGGCACTCAGCTTGGATATTAATCCACGCTGACCTAGTTGTAAAAGGTAAGGGCAAGGTTTCCATATTAGTGGTACCTTGGTCTTTGGCTTTTGTCACACGCACAACTGAGTCCTCCATTTGTATAATAAAGTTGCACATTTGGCATGATGGATTTTCGCACTCTGCTGCATTTCTGCTGGCGAAGTCAGATGGAATATTTGCGGAACCTGCAAGGTGTTGTAGGTCAACCTGGTAACGGCTAGCTGTAGAGAGGAAGGATGTCACTCGGGGGCTTGAAGAAAACTCGCCGCGGCAAAGCTTTTGTATAGCCTGTACACATGGTTTGCTGTCTGTAAGGACGCATGTTCTGTGGGCTGACTGGATGATGTAAGGGCTGAAATGTTTTATGGCCGCAGATATGCACAGAGCCTCGATTTCGCATGGGAGCCATGTCACTTGGTGCTTCCGTAACTTTGCACTGAAGAATCCAGCTAGGTGAATTTTATCTCTGCGCATCAAGTATAGTGTTGCTCCAATTCCGCGCTTGCTTACAGAGCCATCGGTAATGATCCATAAATGGTCATCTCTGGTTGGAAGGTAGATTTCTTTGGAATCTTTAAGTTTTGTCTGGACTGTGCGAAAGTGTTCTATCAACTCCTCAGACCACTTAACTTTGTCTTTTGACTGAAGACCACTGATAGCATTCTCCAGTGGGGCGATGGCATGTGCGCAACCAGGTAAGACGCGGGATAACATCTTGTAGGCCCCAATAAATGAGCGAAGACCATGGACAGAATCCGGCAGTTTGCATGTAGACAAAACAGAGACCTTATGAGGGCTTGCTGAAAGGCGGCCTTGTGTCCAGATCCATCCTAATATTGTAGTAGAACGTGGGCAGATTATTGTCTTGGTTGCGGATAACTTCAGACCGCAGGCATCCAGAGCTGTCATTATGTTGACCCAGTGTCGAAGAAGTTCTTCAGGAGTGTTTCCGCCACAGTACAGGTCGTCAGCTAATTTTGACACATATCCTGCTTGTAGATGATCACCTAGGATTCTGCACATAAGCTCTTCTAGAGCAGTCTCTGATCCCGGCATCCCCATAGCACATCTGGTATAAACATGCACGCCTTTATATGGGGTGACAATGCCACAGTAGCG